GGGGTGGGGGCGGGGTCCCCCGCAGCCTGCCTCGGTTCGGGAACCGGCTTGACCAGATCCCGGGGGCCTTGGCTCGTGCTTTTCTCCCAACAGCACTGGTCTCGCAGGGGCCTGCCAGCCACGCGCAGCCTTATCTTTCAGCCAGGAGCTGCCTGGGAGGGTTGCTTGCATCCAGCCAAAGTACCCTGTGGTGCTTTGCTGCCAGCTCCAGCATGCCATGGGCCATGCTTGGGTACAGAGGGACTGAGCACAAGAGCTGCCCAGTCCTGAGAAGGCTGGGAAAGGGGGAGCAACCTGGTGGCTGGATGTACCTGGATGCATAGGGCTGCATCATGTCTTGTCCTAAAGATCCCTCCCTGACCAACAGGGCAGCCCCTCTTCTCTTCCTCCTCGTTCGAGACTGGCTGCCTTGAGCCAGTCCCAAATGACCCGATAGGTTTCATCGCCTGGTGCTCCCCTGGTAGCAGGAGCAGGGATCTGGCTGAAGAAGTGCCTTCCCAGCTCTGCTGCTCCATGAGGACCTGCTGCATTGTCCTTCGTCCCTCCCATTTGCACCATGTGCTTTCAGACCCCCTTAGGAGTCCCTGCAGTGGAAGGGGGTAATGAGCTGGGCAGAGGGTGTCTCCTGGTTGAGGAAGGCTCGTTAGTGCCAGGATTAAACCAGCAGCCAGCCAGCATTTGCAGTGCCTGGCTGGTGTCTGGCTGGGGGCGAGCAGGGTCCATGTCCCAGGAGCAAACACAGGGGTTGTGCTGGTGGCAGTGGTGCTTCTAGTTACTGTTCCCTTGGTTTGGTTTGTTGCAAAGTGGATCTATCAAAGCAGACATGGTTTGAGGTCTGATTTTAGTAGAATGAGTTGCATGTGAAGCCACTGAGAGCAGCTTGTGGGTACAGGCTGCAGTGCTGTGTGTGATGAAGTGTGTGCAGGAAGGGTATTAGTGTTCCTCTAGTTTAAAAAAAAAAAAAATTTTCTGTAGCTGATTAGTTTAATATTGAACATAATTTTAAACTAAATAAACTGTTCTCAGGAGAAGTATTTAGGAGCCTGAAAAGGATCAGTTGTGGAAGCAGATATATATACATACCCTCAGATGTGTTCCTCGCTCACAGGCTCTGGACTAATGTACCCCTCTACATAAATAAAGTACATGCTCAAAGCACCCCGTGGTCTCTGCTGGTGCGACCGCCCACCAGCAGTGGGGTCTGATGTTCCCCATCCTGCTCCTGGGCCCTGCAGCTGCTGGGCAGGGATGGTGAGGGGCAGCCCCACACCCTGGCCCCCTGCCGCCCTTCTGCACGCTGCTGCTTTCTTGAGGCCCTGTGAGCTTTGTCTGCTCGCTAACCACAGCTGCCTTCAATGTGTCTGTGGGTCACGTGCCTCTTGCAGCTAAGGTCAAGAGCAAGTTGTTTTGGTCCAGCACTGTTATTCCTGCGTTGCACGCTTCAGGGCTTGTGCTGAGCCTGCCAGCAGGAAGGGTATGCTGGTGGCTGTGTGGCACCGCTGGCCTCGGCAGGAGGCTTCCCCGCAGTTTGGGTTAAATCCTTTAAGGTACGAAAGTGTCAGTGCCCCAGGAGGTCAGCAGTGCTGCTGCCCTCACTGCATGGCTGTACTCAGTGAAGGCAACACTCCTCTGCTCCTCCGCAGAGCCCTGTTTGACTACGACCGGACCCGGGACAGTTGCTTGCCCAGCCAGGGGCTCAGCTTCTCCTACGGGGACATCCTGCACGTCATCAACGCCTCTGATGATGAGTGGTGGCAAGCCAGGCTTGTCACGCCCCATGGTGAGAGCGAGCAGATCGGGGTCATCCCCAGCAAGAAAAGGTGAGTGTCCGTCAGCAGGAGCTGTCACGCGTAGTACCTCTGGAGCTCCTCAGCCTCCACAAGCCCTGCAGCCCTCGGGGGTCTGCTCAGGGTGGTCCCAGTACACATGCCCCTCCATGGCTGTGCAGCGTGAAGGGCACTCTAGTTGCAAGCTGGGGCTGTGTGCAGGTCTCCCTGGGGCGATGTTATCCAAAGCTGTGTGAGCCTCCAGGTGAGGAGGGGAGTGCTCAGCCCCTTATGTGGTCCCTGTGGGGATGGAGAGCTGGCGTTAGCCAGTTTGGGGCTCCAAGTTAGAGCAGAGTCACAGCAGTGGCTGTGGGCTGCTCTTTGTGTCCTCTGACAACCTGCCCAGCTCTGTGAGCCAGGTCCCATGAGATGAGAAGTTGCAGGGAGCAGAGGAGCTGGCTGCCACTGCCTTCAGGTCTGCAGAGCCAGCCCCATCCCTCCCCTCCTGGGAAGGCTGGCTTGTCCCATCTCCTGCTCCTGCAGATGCTGGCCCTGGCCAGACCATGGGCAGGCGGGTCCCCCTCCCACCC